TAATCAAATATAACATTAAGTCTCACCTAGGATGACAAGGAACTAGGTCAGCCGAGTAGGTTTGGACACGGACTTGGCTCGTGTAATTGCCCCGCCCTGCCCGATGACCCGCAACGGGTCCAATAAAGTGGATATGTGACTTGACCCGTTCCAAGACAAGTCAACCCACCCTACAATCTCGATTTTTTTTTCCTTTGTCCCCAACAGGCAAATTATGGACAATGTTATTTTAGCTCATGAAGTCTTCCATTTTCTTAAATCTCTTAGATCTGGCTCTAAGTGCTTTATGGCCCTTAAGCTAGACATGATTAAGGCTTTCGACAGGGTGGAATAGGACTCTATTAGGCTTATTATGCTCAAGTTGGGTTTCAGCTTGAAATTTGTGGGGTTGATTTTGAAATGTGTGACTTCAGCTTCTTTTTCTTTTAATGTCAATGGTGAGGTGTGCGGTTTTGTTAATCCTTCTAGAGGGATAAGACAGGGAGACCCACTGTCCCCCTATATTTTCATTCTTATATCTGAAATCTTATCCTTTCTGATTCAAGAGGAGCTTTCTAATGGAAACCTGGAAGGGGTTAAAATTTGTAAAAACAGCCCAACCCTCTCTCATCTATTCTTTGTTGATGACACTTTTGTTTGCTAAAGCTGATGTTCACCAAGCTATTACCTTGCTAGCCATCCTCCATAACTACCAATCCATCACAGGCCAAAAGGTAAACTTGGATAAATCCTCAATCTTTTTTAGCCATAACACTCCTACCTCTGTCCAGAATGATATTTGCCAAACACTCATGGGTATCAAGCATCAAAAATCCACTAACTACCTGGGGCTCCCTCTGGGAATTGAGAAAACAAAATTAGCTACCTTTGCTTACATTGAGGAAGCAGTAAATGCAAGAATCTCTACTTGGCAAAATAGATTTTTATCTAGTGCAGGAAAAGAGGTGCTGATAAAAGCTGTCCTTGGAGCACTTCCCACATATTCCATGTCATGTTTCCTCTTGCCAATAGGAGTTCTGAAGAAGCTGTCTTCCACATTTGCAAATTTCTGGTGGAGCACATCTGGCAATAAGAAGAAATCAATCCACTGGAAAGCATGGGAGAAGGTAACCTTGCCAAAAAAGCTGGGAGGTTTGGGCATCCATGATCTGCACACATTCAATAAGGCACTCATCTCTAAGCGGCTTTGGAGACTTTTAACTCACCCCAACTTGCTGGTTAGCAAAACTCTTAAGGCCAAATATTTTTATAAAGAGGATTTTTTCACAGTGAAGCCAAAGGGGAACTGCTCATGGCTCTGGGCTTGCTGGATGAAGCAGAGAGACTCTCTTAAGCATGGCCTCATATTCCAGATTAAAGATGGCAGAAGTGTGAAAATATGGGAGCACCCATGGGTCCACAATATCCCAAAGCTCAATCCACAGTCCAGGAGTAGAGCTCCAGAGCACATCACAAGAGTCAGTGATCTTCTTGAAGAATCGGGTAGAAGATGGAACAGACAGCTAGTTGAAGAGTGTTTCCCAGAGCTGGAGGCAAAAGCAATTCTGGGAATATCAGACCTTGACCCTCATAAAAAAGACAGACTTACTTGGAAGTGGACAACCAATGGGAAATTCACAGTGGCCTCAGCATACTCCAAGATGATTGAGCAAAAATTCCAACTTATGGACTCCCCTGAATCAAGCAAAGACCAAAAAGTGCTGAAAATGGCCAGGAATAGGAGTTGGGGATTAATGATCAAACCCAAAATCAAGCACTTTCTGTGGAAAGCCATGAACAACATCATCCTAGTTAACAGTAATTTGAGTAAGAAAGGAATTCTCATTGATCAAATGTGTAGAAGAGCTCAGATGATCTGGAAAATCGCCCATGTTTCGTGGGAGGGAACTAAGAAGGAGACAGATAGCTTTAAACAATGGTGGCCAAAATTATGCTCTATCAACAACTCCCCTACCGCAGAGGCCAGACTCCAGCTATCTTCTTACATCCTCTGGTGGATGTGGAAAACAAGGAATTTGTGGATATTTTCGAACATCTGGAGATCAGAGCAGGACACTATTAGCTTAGCTTTGGAGGACTGGTTGTATTTCAGTAGTGTGGATAACTCTATGTTCTAGTTTTCTGTCTTTTGCTTTGCCTTAGTGTTTTGAAGTCTAGCTAGGCTTTGGTGCAGTTGCTAGGCTTTTTTGATGCTGTTGTGAATATTTTGAGTTTTGTAGGGAAGGATAAGAAGGAACTCCCTGGATGAGCTGTTTTAGTAGCCAGGGAGGTATTCTTATTCTTTTGCTCTTGGGCTTTTTCCGTAGTCAGTGCGGTTGTATTAGGGCAAGTTTGTCCTCGGTTGTAACTCTCTTTTATTTTTCAGAGTAATATATCCTATCGTTTCGAAAAAAAATAATAAAAAAAAAAGTAGAGCGACAAAATTTTGCGGATCTTAGACGTGCAAACACATCAAAGGACGCGAATCAATTTGGGCTTCAACATAAATATGTTGGCAATCTTAATTCCTAATATATATGCCCAACAATAGGCACTATAGATATACTTACAAGTCGGGTCAGACCAGGTCTGATTCCAATACCTGAACTTGTTCTGTTTGTAAAACGAGTTGGCCTGACCTGGCCAGTTCTGAAAACAGGGCAGGTCAGGTCCACCGTCCACTACAAATGGCCTCGGGGTTGTCCGGCCGAATTACCATTCCTAATCTCATCCAAGTATTGTAGGGTGTGCAAACCCAATCCAACATCGAAAAATTAAAGGTTCTAAGTCCAATATATAAGTTTGGTGGACTACTCCTTCTATCGCCAATTGGTTTTAGAATGGAACCCCATTTGGGCTTGTATGTTGGGCTTGATGGAGAACTGGGTTTTGAATTGTTGATCCTAACAATTGGTATCAGAGCCACGATTGGTAGCCCAGTTGCGATGTGGATGACGTGGCATGTTCCCCGTGGAGCCGGAAGGGCCGGTAGATCCGTATGCCTTGTGTCGAAAGTCTTCCTGGCAAAAAGGGTGTGGTCAGGCGGCGGGTTCTGTGGGTGATAACGGCGGTACAAGATAGTCGGATCATATGAATTTGGTTCAAGGGGAGGCCCAGAGTGGTCTTGTGTTTGAGGGGAGGTTTGTAGGATGTGGAAACCCAATCCCACATCGAAAATTAAAGGTTCCAAGTTCAATATATAAGTTTGGTAGGCTACTCATCTATTGTCAATTGGTTTTAGAACGGAACCCCATTTGAGCTTGTATGTTGGGCTTGATGGAGAACTGGGTTTTGAATTGTTGATCCTAACAAGTACTACATTATCAAAATCCTATCAAAATCAGTTGTACGTAAAAGCGGGCCAATGGTAACTTCTTGGACCAATCGGGCGACGTGGGACTTAGCCCTTGGGTTGAGTTGAGCTCGACAAGCACGACTATGACTAGCGTTGTTAAACGAGAAGAGCCACTCGTGAGCTCGGAAAACGAGTCGAGCTCGAGCTCGAGCTCACTTAAACCTCGTTCCACCACTGGCTATGTCTGGTTCAGCTCGATAAGTCTCGTTTTAGGCTTTAAAGAAAATTTTTAACCAATTATGTAGTTATGCTCTTAAAATTTGGGATCAAATCATTACATCTCGAATTCGACTCTTTAATATTGATAAACGAGCCAAGCTTGAACTCAATTTCTGATATGTGAAGGGCTCGAGCTCGGCTCGTTTACAACCCTAGCTACGACTAGTGGTGTAAAATTAAACGATTTTGGCTCAGCTCGACTTGTTAAGGCTCGTGTTGGACTCGAGCTCGAGCCTAGATCGAGCTCATTTAAATTTGTTTGGTTAGCACGACTCAGTTCGATAAGGCTCGAAAAAAGAATTTTTATATAATTTTCTATAGTTCGGCTCGTTAAAACTCGTGATCGACTAGCTAGCAGTGATAAACGAGTCGAGCTCGAGCTCGATTTCTGACTCGTCTATTTAACAGGCTGAGCTCCGCTCGACGCATTAAGGGCGCGAACTTGAGCACTATAAACTCGAGCTCGGTTCGACTAGACTCGACTCAATTACAGGGTGCTCGAGCATAACTCGACTCGTTTACAGACTCAGCTGTCCGTGCCAATACAAATTGAATAAGGGCACGAAAAGAAAAGGACAGTCTTGGACCATTGTAAAGTGTCCTTTTCTCCCCACTACTTTAAGACCTGTTTTTTTCTGGAGCTCTATTTCCTTGAACTTGTCGTTTGGCCCTCCCGACCAACACATGTGGAAATGAAAGGCCAAAAAAGCAAGGAATACATAAATATGTAGCATTAATGTGATAAATTATCTGTTAGAATTATAGATTTATGAGGAGATAAGCTTAGCTTTCAAAACTATAGTGGGAATTGTCCTGTTTTTCGTGCGATTGGTGTCTCTGTCTCCAACTCCACCCAGCTTGCCTTTGCCTATGTGTATCCAACTTGCATTTGGTCATATTTTCCACAGTTGTTGATTTTTCAACTTATGCTGAAAAACATGCTCGAGCTCGACTCATTTATCAAAGTCAATAAACAAGCTTAAAAGCTCGAACTCATATACAAATCGAATCAAACCAAACTCACGAACAACTTATTTCACTATAAATGAGTCAATAAACAACTTTAAAAGCTCGAACTCATGTACAAATCGAATCAAACCAAACTCGTGAACAACTCATTTTACTCAACAAACAGCTCAAATATTATCATTGCTGGGCCTATATTCATATTCATCTGTTTGAATTCACAAATTTATTCCGAACATGAATTGTGCAGCTTTTCTCAAATTTCCTATCTTTCTTTGTTGGCTCGTCTTCATGTTTCACTTGCTCACCAATCACACACACACACAAAACATAACTTCTAAAACCTACTCCAAGAATCAAACTCTCCTTTATTATCTAAAAAGAGAAGCCAACCCAACATAAACCCCAAAGGCCATCTCTTACAACAACAACAACAACAAATACACACTCTCAAATCCCAAACAGTAGCAAAACACACTGTTCAACCCTCCAAAACACTCTCATCACCGGCGAATTCACCGCTCTCCGAGCCCGATCCCGAGCCCGCATCATCCATCTCCCTCTCCATCAAGTCGATCTGCACACACTCTGCAACCGAGCCCTCATGGCTCCCACTCGACGGCGTCAAATCTTCCCTCCTC